AAGAACTTCGCTGGAGAGAACATGGCAAAAGATCCTGGATAAAACTTGGCTACAGAACCCGGCTGAAGAACCCCGCTACAGAATCTGGTGACCGAACCTGGCTGGAGAATCTAGTGAGGGAACATGGCTACAGAACCTGGCTGGAGAAACTGGAGAGCCTAGCAAGAGAACATGGACACAGAACTTGGCTGGAGATCCTGGGTAGAACTTGGCTGGAAATCTTGGCTAGAGATCCAGGCAAGGCTGCTGTCTCCGTGTCATTCCTTCTTCACCGACTCCGTCCACACCTATTGGGAACCCCTGGACCTGCTGGGGCTGGACCCCAGCACAGAGGAAACTCGTTTTATAGAGAAAGAAACTGACACCAAACGAAAAGAGCCATCAATGTGAGGTCACCTCCAGGGCTCCAGCATCGACCCCTGTGCTCCCGACCCCAGAGGGCTCTCCCGGAAGCCTTCCTGGCCCCATGCCCGGCCCCTCCCATGCTCTACGCCCCCTGCCCAGCTCCTCCCTGGCTCCTCCCCAGCTCCACACATTTGTTCTGTATCCATCTCCCCAACGGCCTGTGCACTGGCCTACCTATGTTGGTGCCCAGCCCACTGTTCTCAGGAAACCCAAGCCTCATTGTCTCCCCAGCCCCATTGGCATGGTCTTACCTGAGCCATGAAATGGGAACCCCCAGAAGTCAGGGGTACAGTGATTTACCCAGAACCAGAGCGACAGCTGAGTCATTTACTGTCCCCACCTCTGGGAATGCAGCGAAGAGACTAATGAGCCCCTAAATGCCAACCGGAAAATTAATCTCGCATCCATCCTTCCATTAGTCCCCAGGAAATTAACCACCTCATCAGATTTGGTGAAGCAGCCTGGCAGCTACGACCCCTGCAATCCAGCTGCTGAAAAACAGTGGGAGGGAAAGTGAGAAACCAGCCAGGTGCCCTGGGGTACAAGCTAATTGCCTCACCAGGCACCGGCCATGCCATGCACATGCCAGGGGTCAGGAGACACAGCTATTGTCACAGAAACATGTGGCTCTGTTTCCAGCCATCCCTTAGCTCTGCCTGCCGACACCTGCCCAAACCTCCTGCAGGAACAGCTGCATCACAGCCTCTGCCACGTGTCCACATGTGTGGGCTTGATCACACGGCAAGCAGCGTCTCCCCTTGGCCTTCACTGTCTCTCCCAAAGTCTCTGCCAGGTGTCCCAGGGGCCCTGGGGGTGCAGTGAAGGGAGGAGGGGGGTTGGATGCCAGCTCTGCTAGACTGTGTGGCCCTTTAATGTATGTAGGAAAGAGGCAGGCTGGCCCCGTGCACAGCGCGCGCATGCAGTGCAGGCCAGACCCAGCCTCACCTTCCTCTGAACTTGTACAGTTTGCACCATTAGTGTACGAGTGAAGGTCTAGAGTAGGAGGCCCTGGACTAACCTGGCTTCTCTGCTCATAAGCTGTTTGACTTCGGAAAGTTACTCGGTCCCTCTGAGCTTCAGTTCCCTCATCCATAAAATGGGGGTCAGAATAGTAATTATACCTCACTAGAGGCCCGATGCATGAAATTCATGCAAGAGTAAGCCTTCCTTACCCCAGCGGCCAGCACCAGCTTCCCTCTGGCATCCAGGACCCGGGACCTGGGGCCCAGGCTTCCCTCGCAGCCCCGGCTTCGTTTGGAAGGTTGTCTGAAAGGACGTCTGGAAGGACGTCCAGTCTAATTAGCATATTACCCTTTTATTCTTATGGATAGGGTCCCTAAGGAGACACAGTCAGATGGTGAACATCCAGAGTTGATTTACTGTTTCATGCCATCACCCAAGACAGAAGCTGGACCTCCCTGTGCCTGAGGCTTTGCCTTGGAGACCTCAGTCTGTTAGACAGAGTAGGCCGGGGCCTGGAAGTCTGGTTCCTGGACCAGCAGCACTGACGTCAGACAGGCAAGTGCGCAGGCCCCACTGGGACTGACTGGAACCCAGACTCCAGGAGGAGCCCGGCTGTAAGTGCCACAGCACGTGCCTCCATGGTCTGAGGCAGGAGGGGCCAGAGCGCAGAGGGCAGAACAACTCAGACAAGACCTGCTGAGGGGGAAGGCGG